CTTGTTAACGGTGGAGCTGGAAAAGCTGGAAGGAAGGAAGGAAGAAAAAGGGCTTGATTCCCTTGTGTGAGCTAGTGTGGAGCGCTTTGAGAGTCTGGAGTTGCAAGGGGAATTGGTGGCCTCCAAAAGCTTCAGCAAGTCAGACATAAACTCTTACTGATGGTCAGATGTGAGGTTGCTGTTGTGCACCTGAAGCTGCTGTGTTTGCTTGGCCTGTTTCTGCTGAGAGTGGCGGGTCCGATTCCCACGTGATGGGTAGCTAAAAGGGAGCTCAGAGAGGTGGCGGCGGTTGCGTCTGTTACCACAGCTGCCCTTGGTGCCTCCTTGGTGCTTTGCAGTGCTTTTCAAGCCTTAATGAATCTTTGCATGTGTGGCAAGTGGTTGCACAGATACCCTCCACCTTTGATCGGCCCTCGTGGCCTCCCGTTAAGCTGTATGTTCACAGGAGAGCTGCTGTGTTCACGTTTTTCCTCTGTGCTGCCTTGCTGGATGGTGGGACACCTCCAAACGGGTGAAGTTGTGCATGTGTCACAGGGTCCCATCTGTTCATTCGAGCTCCCTAGGAGCCAGCTGAGGAGCTCGTCACCATTAATCACCCTTGTCCAGCTCGTGGTGGGGACCACACGTCTGCTGCTGCTTGGCCTCCGTCCACGTACTCGTCTCCAGCTGGGTCAGAGGAGCCAGCTCTTCTCCCCAGCCCCGCATGGTGCGTTCAGAGAGGACGGTCCCTCCTGTGTCGCCCCATGGGCTGGGCATGCTTTTGTCATTGCCACCTTCCTTGGCCGTGGACGTTGCCACGTGTCTCCCAGAGTGTTCCCCATCTGGTCCCCTGAACACCCTCGAACCCCGTAACGAGCGTTTAGCAACGTGTTCTGCCCTTAGAAGTCTGGCTGTAGGTTGTGTGAGTGAACGCGGGTTGTACTGAATGAACAGGTTGTATTAACGAACACCCTTCTAGGCGGCACCAGCAGCAAGTCAGGGTAAGAGGCGCAAGGAGCGGAGGTGAATGAGACGGTTCAGCTGGTTTTCCCCAGCTGGGAGCGGGTTGTCACTGGCTTCATGTGTGTTTCTTACGGAAACAGAGCTCCTGTTAGTTCCCGTGAAGGCCCCTCCGTGGTGATGCAGCTCGAAGGTCCGGGGCGGCCTCGCGGCGCGCTCGCAGCCGGGCTCCGTGGACGCCGTGTTCGTACAATGGCCGCTCCTCGCCGCGGAGCAGCCCATTCAGCACCTCTCACGAGCATTATGTTAATTAATGTCACATTTGTTAGGGGGCTCCGCGCAGATGATCGGGCCTCTGGGTGGGTGGACGTAGGAACAGAGCGGCCTTGTTGCCTCCCTGGATGTCACCATTCTTCTCGTTGACAGAAGAACACACACGCTTGTGGCCTGGAGCGGGCTGGTACGGGGCGTCTTCTGCCTCAAGGGGCTGAAGAGCTGAATCTTTGTGCTGCCACCGTGAGCTGCGACGCCTGCACTGCCGTCCTCACAAGTGAAACTCCAGACAAAGGCCCCACCACTTGTTATCCCAAGAGCTGCCAAGAGTCCCTTGCTTAGGAACGTGCTGGTTCCTGGATGGACATCCTCGACTCCTACCTCAGGCCCCGGATCTTGGCAGCGGGCGCAGCGGAGAGGCTCCTCTTTCCCATTGGGAATGGCTACGGGCGCTCCCAGGGCAGTGCAGGGACCTGCTGTGTGTGCAGAGCCGAGTCCAGCGCGCGGAGCTCCTCCCTGGCCATCGGCTACGCGGCTGCCTTGGAAACACCACAGTTTTGCAGCAGGACTGGGGATACTCTTCCTATACGGGAGCTAAGATTTGTGGAGAAAGGTAGGAGCTCAGACAGGGAGTCTTCTCTAAAAGCCATAGCTACCATTTCTGGGCACTTTCAGAAGGGTTTCTGTAGAGAACTCCCTGGTTTCTACTTCAGATCTCTATCAGAGAAGAGTACAATGAGGCTGAAACCAGTAATTTGGAGAGGGGAGTGTCAGCACGAGTCAAAAGTGACAGGCTGGGTTTTGATTTCTTTTCTGTTTGAAGCTCTTTCCCCTTTGATTATATCCCGTGCATTATAATGTGCAGATTGGGAAAGGTGATTATTTTTTAACGTCTCTCAAGATAGGCAGCGTGTCAAGCAAACATGCCCAGCTTTATAACGGGGTGCGTGTGTGTGTTGTAATAGATGTGCTGGGCTACGCGTGGCACCGTCCTCTGACAGCTGAGCATAACCAGGGCTGCCCCACACGGCGTCACCAGCCCTATCATGATCCCATGAAGCAAGAGCAGAGCAGGCACCTGGAAGGAATCGCTGAAGTAACGTGTCACTGTGGGGAACGGGTCCTCCTCAGGTGTCCTTTGTGGCCTGGCACGTCACCGAGCCACGGCAGCGAAGTCTCCATGCCCGTTTGTGTTTGCGAGGAGGAGGGAGGCTCTGTTTTATCCTGCTCACGAGGCGGCTTGTGCTGCTGTGGTAGCTCTTGGTAGGTCCTCCTCAGGTGTCCTGGCACGTCACCGAGTCACAGCAGCGAAGTCTCCATGCCCGTTTGCTCTCTGCGTTTGCGCGGAGGAGGGAGGCTCTGTTTTATCCTGCTCACGAGGCGGCTTGTGCTGCTGTGGTAGCTCTTGGTCTGGAGATGAAGATGGGGTTCGTTAGCTCTAGGAGAGAAGTCAGCTCTGCATTCTGCAATTGCAAAGGGGAAAAGAAGCATCGACAAGACCCTTGTACAAAACATGCAGCCTGTGGCTGTGCAGGCAGGCAAGTGTTTGGGGGAATATGTAAAACAAATGCTTAAAATGACAAAAAAACTAAGTATTAGGGAAGCAAAGTTTGCCCTCCACTTTGTCATATAGCGAGGAGGAAGGTGAAGCAACTCGGAGCTATGCTGCAATGAAGATCCAAGCATGTTCCTAATCCCCTGGTGCATTTCATGTATTTAAAGACCTTACTTGCTCAAAACATAAAAGGCTCTGTAAATTCAGGCAATATTTTTCATTTCAATTAATCATCTCAGAGGACTGTAACTTCATTGTCTCTTTGTATGGGCAAGTTTGAGCAAATCCAACTTTTTTTTTCCATTTTCCTCTGCAGATTATGAAAGGCTTTGTGGATTATATCACCAAATTAAAGCGAGCCCGTTAGTGTTGCTCTCAGAATATCACAGTAATGGGCTGTGCCTCAGGCAGCACTGTCTGTCCCTCTCTTTTAGCCTGCTCTGCCTGCATCCGTGTTGCTCAGAGCTGGTGTTTCTCCTCGCTAATAGGAAAGTGCATAAAAATCACATAATCGTTAATATTGAAGAATCATTAAGGTTGATAAAAACAGCTCGGCCTGGGATGATGTTGATTTCATGGTCACTGCTTTTGGAAAACATGCCACAAAACATTGGCTCGGTGTTGTTTTTTAGATCCCACTGGGTGATCTAGTGGCTGCTGGACTCCATTTTTTGCACTTCTGGAGGTAACTCCAGCTCTATAAGAATAAATACATTTCTGGAGGCTGCCTGCGCTGCCTCCCTCCCTTTTCCGCAGCCCCTGTTTCTGATGCAGACGGCATCCGAAACCCGGCAATCTATGGCTGAGCAGTAAAGTCTTGGTTGGGTTTTTATTAAAGCAATGATGTGCTGACTGGCTGAAAAGTGTCAAAACCGCAATCTTGTAACATCAACAAAATAAGGCAGGGTGCCTTTTTTTTTTTTTTCTACAAGAGAAGAATGTTGAAAGCACAAACGAGCCCTGCGCGAAATTGGTGGGCCTGAGCACTTGTCCTTTGGGGAAGGGGAATGGTGAATATCAGAGGCAGCTGCTTTTGTTTCTCATTAAGGCAACCAAGGCCATAAGGTTTGTGGAGATGACCAGCCTTTGCTCTCCCTTCCTCTCTGGCCTTTCCTTTCTTGAGTAGAACTAGAATGGAAGTAACATTGACAGCATTATAAAAGTGGCATCTCAATCTCAGCATGTAATAATAATAATAATAAAGCTTGTATCTCACTGGAAAAGCTGAGGAAATTCAGGGTGAGGTTTTAAAGTCGATCAGTGAAAAAATGGAACTGACTTGAGCCAAATAGAAATACACATCAGGTTGCCCTGGAAAGGACAGAGCTGGTTCAAGCAGCTTCTGCATCTCCAGAAGCACAACCTGAACCTTATCCAACCATCTGTCCAGCCAGGGACTCCACAAGGTCCTTTTTTTTTTTTTTTTTTCCTTTAATATGGATTATGTGGTGGTTCCAAACTTAGTTGGCATTTGCCGGGTGTCCATATCCCATTGCCATCTGCTGGGGAAAGGTGGGGAATGGGAATGGCCCCAGCAGCCTCCTGGGGCCCATTTGTGCGCTAGTCCAAGCGAGGCAGCTGTCCGCAACCCCCCTCTCTGTTTTCCAGCCTGTGCTCTAGCCGGGGCTGTGTTTCACGTGTGTGTTGGTAATGGGAAACCCAGAGTCACAGCATGGTGCAAAACCACTCAGTGTCTCAGATAACAAATACTGCATCGGGACAGAACGATCAGCCTCCTGTCTTGAATGCTCTTGCACAATAAAAACGTAATTCTCTGCCATCACTTAGAAGAGGGCTATGCTGGTAACCGGATTACAGAGTTTGGGTTTGCAGCTGAATAAAGATTAGAGCTGGAATCTCCTTAATGTCTTTGGCCAAGACAAGAACTGGAAAACGAGGCCAAGATTTGCAGCCATGGCCAGTGATTTACGGTGTGGACCTTGAGCTGTTCCACAGGGGTATTTTTTTCAAAACACTCTCATGCCTTTGAAAATTGGGTCTCTCTAAAGCGACCTGTTGTGGGCGGCTGAGCACGCTGGTCCCATTAGAAGGTCTCAGCCTAGATTGTGGCCAGGATCTTCTTGCTAGATCCCATCCAGACATCCCGAGCACTGAGGTTGGAAGCTGCTGTCTATCCCGTGCACTCCAGCAAGTGCAACCAACACAGATTGGCTTAGAGCTAGAGGAGAAGGCACCAATGAGGCTTCATCACGTTGTTCTCTTTGCACCATAGGAGGCCTTCGAGGAGCTACCGTGGTGGATGCCTTAGATACTCTGTACATCATGGAGCTCGAGGAGGAATTCCAAGAAGCAAAGAAGTGGGTGGAGAAGAGTTTTGACTTGAACGTGGTGAGTCAGTGGCTGGGAATGGCTGCCTGTGTCACAGAAATGTCTCTCTGCATTGGCCTGTTCTGACCATAGAACCATTTGAGAAGGAAAAATACAAAGTCTGTGCAGGAGAGAGGTTCTGCACTGGGAGAGAGGTGCCTTGGCAGCAAAGTGGGGGAACATATTGAGCATCAGAGCTCTGTGGTGCTTGCGGGAGAGCGGATGGAATCGTCTCAGTGGCATTGGGAGAATGTTAAAAGCTGAGTGCTGCTCAAACTTTTATTTTTTAATGCCAACCTAGTTGTCTGTTGTGAAAAAATGGTTCTCCCCATGGGAACAATGCATGCAGCTGCCTTCATAGAAAAGCATCGTCTGTGAGGGCATGACTGGCATTCATACATTCATAAAAGGGAGACCACATCTGATAAATTTGGTGAATGCTCTCAGTACATTACTGAATCGATAAACAAGGGACAAAATCAACTGGGAGATAATTTATCCGGATTTCATAAAAGCTTTTAATCTTGGCCTGCAGAATAGATTGATCTGCAAAGACAAGAATGAATACTGCGGATTGATCCGTGTAGTCAGAAAACACAGCAGAGGAAGAGCAAGAGGGAAGTTAATTAAAAATTGGCTATGTACAAGGAAGTCTGATGGTCCAAAAGAGTGAGACAGGGACTCACAAACTCTGGGTGCTCTGCTCTGTCTTATGCTTCATCTGGAGAGAAGACTCGCTCTGATTTGTAACCACCAAATTGTTTGGAAAGGCCAGACTGGTGTGGCAGTTGAAGGGCCCCTTCCCTTTGCCCCGCTTGCTGCCAGCGCGGTGTCAGCAGAAGACCTTCCTGGTCGTGGTTTTATGCGTTTGCTGAGGGGAGGGATCGTTTGTCATGCAGATTCACCAGCCAGAGCGTGTTGGTTTTTGTAAAGCACATTTTGAATGCAGTTGTTTTGACATTTGCTGATCATCAGCTGAGCAGCTAGAGCAGAGCTCGTTCCAGGTGAGTGGGTTCTCGAGGGATGCGGTGAACCAAATCCATCCCTGGCTGCCTTCTCTGGTGGGGGGCACACAGACATCACTCAGTTTGTCCCTCTGTAGACATGTCCATGACAGGCACCTCTTAGGCTGTGATGTTCTCCAAGCCTGCAAGATGAGATGAGTCCTTGAGTGGCATTTCCTGAGATTTCTTGCCAGCTGTTGGTAAATGGGCAGTGGGGAGTGGTTCTCTTCCCTTCAGCTCCAGCTCTCACTGTAGAGCAAATGAAGTGCTCTGAGATCTCAGGTGAAAAGCTGCATTACGCTGTGAGTGAGGACTGGAAGATTTCAATATCTGCCTACAAGCCGTTCCCCTTAGCTCCTGTTTGCATGCGCAGATTTTGCAGTCAAGAATGTCATTATGTGTTTTCAGAATGGAGAAGCATCCTTGTTTGAGGTGAACATCCGCTATATTGGAGGACTGCTGGCCGCGTACTACTTAACTGGAGAAGAGGTTTGTTTCAGCATCCCTGTGTGTGTATCTCAGTCACCAATAATGAATTGAAAGGGTTCTCCAGCAGCTTTTCATTGAGCATCAGATAATCCCTCCATAACAACAGGCTAAACCTATCGTTTTTATGAATATTGAAATGCCACTAATGTTCTTTTAATTAAGTCTCACATAATTACCTTGCACACACCATGAATGACTCATCAGCAGAGATCTTTTCTCTGGTGGGCAATTCTAGCAAGACACATTTTCAGTTGAATACATTGCTCCCCAGTGAAATGCCATTTGCAGTGATCTTTGCCTTTCTTCTTCCTACTTTGTGGTTACTCAGTGCCCTAAACATAGGCAATATTTCATCAAAACAAGAGTCCAGACTCTGCCCCTCAACTGAGGGGCAGCAACTGGTTAGTGGCAAGTGCTCCAAATTCTACCTGGCCAGTCCTTGTGCAGCAGAGGTTTGGAAGATGAAGTGCCCTGGGGAACAGAGGCGCTTCTTTCTCTCCAGTGTAGCAGAGGTTGGGACAATCTATTTTTACAATATAACTGGACTGAAATTTTAGAGCTGACTGCAGAGAGATGAAGAGATTATTCTTCTGCTCTGGAAATCTTAGGCAAGCAGAAATTCTGCTTTTTGGAGGAGTTTTGCAGGTGAAGGAGCTATGAGATTGGCCCTAAATGAGAGGTGAGCTCCCACCAAGCACAGCTGAGTGCGGTCTGCCCTGGCGGGTGCGGTGGCTCGTCACTGCATAGTGCTGCCATTGATTGGGGAGGCACAGGAGCTGCCCTGTTACTAAGGTTGCATTTTAAATGAGTTCCAGGAATTAGTTCCCTCTGCGATTTCCCTCCAGGGAAAACTCTCAAAAACTCTATGTCCCAGCTCAGGGCCTGTCTCCATTGCAGCTTTCACAGCCTTCACCCCAGCAGACCACAAAGAAACCATATGAAACCACAAAGCTTCAGTGATGACCCTTTGTAGTCAGCAGCGATGCAGCAGCCAGGGCAGTGCCTGTCACATACCCAGGTGGTGACACCAGGCTGAAACACAGGAATCCAGGCCCTGTCTCTTGGCTTCCCTTTCTGAATCAAACCCACCTCCTTGTGAGGGTATCACAGGCCTGCAAGCCCACAGGAGAGTTCATGTTTCCTCTGTGCTGTATTTTTAGAGTAATAAACTCCTGCTTTCTTAGAACTACTGTGACAGCTTGGGCTGTATAGGGGGGTTAGAGGTAAAAGGCTTGCACTTTATCTCATAAGTCACTTACAGGCTTCCCTTGATCAGGACTAATCTCTGGAGCAAAGATTAGGGCTTGTATCAGTTTGTCCCAAAATAATTGTGTATAGTAGCTTTGTGCTGCAAGCCACCATAAGCTATAATTTGATTTGAAAGCCCAAAACTGAAGCATTAAAAATGGAAAAAGAGCAGCTTAGACATGAAACCGTGAAACCTTCCTGAGAAAGATTGCAAGTAAAAGATTGTTTGCTGGAAATCATGTTTTTTTGCAATAGGAGATAATACCAGCTAGGCAAACCACTGTCATAAATCTGACGTGCTTCCGCCTAGAAAAACTTGCTTTGATTTTAATTTTACCATTTTACCACCCAGGAGTGGATTGGGGGCAGCTGCATACCTGAAATGACAGATTGTTATAGTGAAGTACTTCCATCTTTCATTAATGACATGCTTGAAAAAATGCATTTGAAAGAATCCAGTGTAACTAGTATTTGCAAGCAGTCCATCAAATATTTATCCTCTTTTCTTTTAACAGGTGTTCAAGAATAAAGCTTTGGAACTTGGAGAGAAACTTTTGCCAGCTTTTAACACCCCTACTGGTATCCCACGAGGTGTCATCAATCTGGGCAGGCAAGACACACGTCCTTATGAGCATGTCCTCTCGTTACTGAATGTTTGCAAAAGAGCAGGACCCAAGCAGGAACAGCAGCAGTTCCTCAGAGGTGCCCCGCTCTAGTGCAGTTTCTTCGAGGTCATTTGTTTTGCCAGCCAAACCCAAGAGGTGTCTTGGCAGAGATTGCAGGTGACTCGAGTTAACACCAGCCCTGTTTATTAATTCAGGGCTATCTACAGTTTCTTCCTCTGCCTTTTGACAGGGCTCTCTGCTACAATAGCATTTTCCTCACCGTCGTTTCTTTGAAATGATATTTGTAATCTGGAAGTAGCATGTGGCACGCTCTGTATTTTTGCAGTCTGCGCAACTAGATGCATGAATTTATCCAGGCTCCATACCTAAGGAAGTGGGAAATGGATTGGAAGGGACTGGCAGACATTTTTGGAGCTAGAAAGGGGGAGTACCCAGCCCCTCTGTCTCGCTGCTGGCAGTCTCAGCCACGTGTGTATTCTTGTTGTAGTCGCAGGGTCGTGTGTCAGGTATTCTCGTGCTACAGGGGAGCTTAGAGGCAGCTGGGTTAAATGGGCAGCTGGGGTCACTCGACAGAGGTGCGAACGGGAGGCTGGACAAGGTCTGAACCTCGCTCGTAGATGCTGTTCTGGCCATTAAGGGCTCATTGGTTCCTTTTGATATCTATTAACCAGTCCCCCCGGGTAAAAGCTGCATCAGGCTGAAACACAGGCAGCAGGAAACGTGGGTTAACCAGAGCCTTTCATCCTCACCTCTCGCAACACGCAGAGCAGCAGCTGTGAAAATCTTTATTCATCTCTTGGCCCAAACGTCCTGTTTGGCTCCTGTCCTAGGGAAGCACAAGGCTGTCAAATGTTTGGCTTGGGCTGATCCTTGCTCAGATATCACTGTCACCCTTCAGTTGTCTCCTCTGCACGCGATCCCAATGAAAATTTGATCCACCGCCACGACCACTTTAATTGTTTCTTTCTACAGAAGAGACATTCTGCTTCATCCGTGGCTGATAAAGGCTCGGCAGAGACTAACCTTTCACAGAAATGCCAAACCCTCCCCTGCCCTTTGTGAAGACAATCGAAACAGACTGTGCCTGCCTAGACATTCCCCAAATGTTTTGCTGATGACCTTGACTAAGAGCAAAGAAACTCAAAATAACACAGAGCCTGAAATCCAGAGCCTATATTACAATTTGGAGCTCTGGCTTCAGAGCCATAACACTGCTGGGAGGGCCTGGAAGTGTTGATGGATTTAGGAGCAAGGATGAAGCGAGCTAAATCTGTATCCTGGCTATTGCAGAAACATGACCAGCCAAAGCTTGTAAACCCCAAGGGGAAGGAGTTATTCAGCATGAGGTAGATACGGATGTGGAAGCAGAGGTGAGTGAGATGATGTGGAGAGAGGGGGTGTTTAACACCAAGGTCAGGGCCATCGCAAATCTCAAGAGTTATGCAAGAAGAAACGAGGCCCACTTCTATCTTTGAAAGAGTTGCTGGTTCCAGAGAAGCCTCCCTGGCTCAGAAGCAGGAGGTTTGCAGCATATGCAGCGTTTCTGCTGGTGGGGGACTTGGGAGGGGAGAGGGAGGCCTAAGAATGAGATTTAGAAATTTAAAACAAACAAGAGCTGGCGTTGCACTAATTCCAAGTAGATGTTTCTGGGGACACAAGTAGCAAGACCCTCCCTTTGCTTTTCCTATAGCCAGCTGGCCTTATCTCTTCCTATCACCTTGCACCACCTTTTCCTCTTGTGTCCCTCCACTGATGTGCTTCCTTGTGGCCTCCTGTTTTCACGAAAGGCCTCGTATCACATCTCGCACAGGCTTGTTTTCCATCCTGCTGGTCCAATGGCCACATTTGCTGCCAGCTCCTGCCACACACTGTCTTTTCAAGCTGCTTTTCCATGTCCTCGCTGCCTGCACATTGTGCTGTGCTCTCTCCTGACGCCTCCTGGTCCCAGCGCCCCTTCCCACCTCCCCTCAGACCCTCTGCACCTCCACGTTCTTCATCATCCTCCTCTCCTGACTGCCCCTTTGACTTGGCTGCTGCTCTGGGTCTCTGTGAGGGAAGGAGATGAAACAGCCACTTCCAGCACATGGAGCCAAGTAATTGAGATGCAGTAATCTGGGGGGCAGAGGCAGCTCTGGGCATTTTCTTTTGACTTGGAAACCAAGGTACTTAGAAAGGTAGCTTCCTCCAAGATATTAGAGCAGGGAGCAGATGTGAAGACTCAGTTTGTCCAGCCTGTAATGCTGAAAAAATGTTTCCCCACAGGGGGTCATTTCAGGCCGCTCTTTGGCCAGGGCCGTGTTGCAGACGGGCTGTCTGCACCAGCCCCCCTCTCCAGAGGCCATTTGTCCCCCCGCGCGCAGGGGGAGCTCCTGGCCGCACTGTCCTGGCCCTCGCCGCGTGTCTGGGACTGAAGGTCCCGGCAGGGCCGTGGTGGCCGCGGTGACCCCGGAGAGCCGCCGTCAGTCCAGGCACCCGGAGGGCTCTGCCACGGGCCTGCTTGGGCTTTACCACCCCGCCTTGGAAAGATGATTAATTTTCACCTCCTGCAAAGAGCAGCAACTCCGTGCTGCAAATGGCCAAGTTTGCAGGCGCCATCTAGTGTGTCCTGCCCCGGAACTTGGGATCCCTCGCAAGCAGCGCTCCTGAACGGACCCGCAAAGCGCGTCCCGGCACTTCCAAACCAGCTGTCCCGGCCCGGCGCCTGCAACTGGCTATTGAGGAGCAAGGCCTTGAGGATACAGGTCACTTCTGCTGTCAGAGAGGTGCAGAGCTGTAGTCTGTAGCAGTGGGACACAAGAGGGACCTGGGCTGCTGCAAATGCAAATCCAAACAGGTTGTACATGGTTGTTAGTGCTAGGAAGAGCCTCTGCCTTTCTGTGTCTGTTGATTAGATTTTTTTTTGAGGATGAAGGGGGAAATGATGCCCTCTTGACTCCCAGAGCCTGGCCCTTGCTTTGCTACAAGGAGGATTTTTCTCCATCACTGCGTTTTGCATGAGTTGGTCAGGGTGAGACATCGATATCAGGGCTACAGGGAGGAAAAGAGGCTGAGAATGGATCTCAGTAGATCGAAAATAGTGGTGAACCCTTTGTGTGGTCCCTGTTGATCCCTGCTGTGCGTCACGTGCACGTAGCACAGGCACAGTCTGCACCGTGGCAGCAGGGTGACCTCAGCTTTGTTTGCTTGTTAACAAGGGCTCCCTTTTCTCTCCTTGCAGCGGCATGAGTTGGAGCTGGGGCTGGGCATCTGCCGGGAGCAGCATCTTAGCAGAATTCGGTACCTTGCACTTAGAATTCCTGCACCTTTCGGAGCTCTCCGGCAACCCGGTGTTTGCAGAAAAGGCAAGTACTTCCCACCTCGGTGTGCAGGGAGCTGGTCTCTCGCTCCTGGAGCAGAGCAGCACTTTGGCCTGCCCACAAGAATTGCTCCCTCTGCCCGTTTTCAGTTCAGCTCACCAGAGAAGAAGCCTTTGACAGTGGGACCCGTGTCTCAAAACCTGTCCCTTGCAGGCTGCAGACTTCAGCAGTCCTCAGAGCATCCTACCCCATTCCGATGCGAAGATCCCAGCAGCTTCCAGCTACAGGTCCCATCATGCAGGCTGCTCGGAAGGCAGCAGTCCCTGGGCTTTCCTTGTCCATTCACATGTCCTTTAGCCCCTCCACTTCCCTCCGTCCATCACCGACAACAACATGGGCGATGGGGATGTTTTCCCAATGTCTCAGTGATGTGAAATTGCAGTAAAAACCTACCTAAAAAAAAAACTAAACACAAGCAGAATTAATCCATCTGTTGGGTGCAGGCTGCAAAGATAATTGTTAATTCTGATACCCTAATAGTGTTGCCTTGTACTTGCAGACCTTTCCACTCTAAGCAGGCATTAAATGTTATGCTCCAGCCGGCAACATTTCTGCTGAGGTTTCTCGTGTAGGAAAGGCCTGACAGTTGACATATTGGATTCCTTTTGTGTAACTTGTAACTGAAAATCTGTTAATATTTCACATTGCCTTGCTCCTTCTTTCTTTTTTTTCTCCTTTTTTTTTAAAAAAAAAAAAGTTATCTTGAAGTACATTTATTAAATATGCTGTTGGATACCAGCAAATCAGTAGCTTCCACTGCACGTCCCTGAGGAATCAGCTTTGAGGGGGACAAATTGTTCCAGTTAGAACCTGAACTGCCCCCATGAGCCCAAAGAAACGGGGCCAGTTGAGAGCTGCACAGTGGGTGAAAACAAATAGTAGTTCTGAGATTACCAGTAAAAGGCTCAAAATGGTCCTTTCCTTGGGTGTTGGTCTGTCAGTTCTCACTGAAACAAGAAAAGAATTTGCAGAAGAGAAGGGACAGAAGAGAAGGAAGAAGCTACAAGAACCAAATGGAGAACAGGGTGCGGAAAGCAAAGGGTGAGATGAGCAAGAGAAATGTCAGAGGAGTGAGCAGGAAGGAATAGCAGAGGGTAAGAGGAAGCTAGAAACCCAGGAAACTCTGTAGGCAAGATACAGAAAGACTGGCAATTTGGAATAAAAAAAGACAAGCTAATGATTCTTGATGATGATGATGAATTACTCAGAGCAGGGAGGGGGGAGCTGAGAAAAGGCCAGTAGAGGAAAAGGGACGTGGAAAAAAAATGGGGGAAAGAAATGGAGGAGGAAAACAGAGAGAGGTGAGCTCTGAAAACACAAGGTAAGAAGATGCAACATTGCGAGCCAGAATTGCATCCATATTCTGTGTTCAAATTGTGCTGTTCTGGGCCAGGGTCAAGCCTCTATCCCCAGGGTAACATGTTTCCATCTCGGACTCATAAACCAGCTAACGGATAAGGGCAGAACCTTTCTAGTGGACTGTCCTGAGCCGAGCGTGCCTTGTGTGTGCCACAAAAAAATGTGTCACATTCAGCCTGATACCCCCTGAGCGAGAAGATGTGGGAGGAGAGGGGCTCAAAGAGCCCATCGTGTGGGAAATGGCATCAGAGGAACACATCAACTCATTAGCTTGCAGCTTGGGACTTGTGTGATTTTAGCAGGAATAAAGTCCATCTGTGTCTTTTATTCAAACATGTCATTAATATGCCATGCTACTAAACTTCAGTAAATATTATGCAGCCTGATGACTTACTTGGAAGCACCGACTTATGCCTGTAGCCAGCTTTTGGCGTACAAATTGTCTGATTTTATAAAAGGTTTAGAGAGTATTAGCTGCTCTGTAGGTTATAATAGAATATTTATGCTGCATACCATTTAACTTCATCCCTTATGGAAAAGGCCTATTGGATTTAATGGGAGTGAAACCAAGGGAGGTTTTAGAGAATAAGTAAATCTGTTCTAGCATATTAAAGGAGCTGTCTGTTGTTGAAATTAAAGGCCCCAATTCATCAGGTTAAGTGAGCACACGGTGAATTTAAGTGCCATGTGAGTCACTCATCCCTGCCACTCCTTTCCCTTTGGATCGTGGAAAAAAAACACCCACTGCCTCTCATGCATTCCCATCCAGATTACAAACCCATTCCTCAGGATTCCTGATGGAGCATTTACTTCCACTGCTTTTCCAACTGGGACTTCGTGGGGTTTTCAGAACCATTTCTAAAAACCCACAGAACTGGCTAAAGACTGTCCTGAGGATCCAGGGGGAAAGTTTCTCCGTCACAGACCCTTCCTTGGAGAGAAATGTTGCTGCCTCCACTTGTTTGATGATTCACAACATAACAGGCTGCTGTGCTCGTTCAGCTAGGCATGAAAACCGAGGAGCCAGTCTTCAGAGGCAGAACCAAACACAGCCTTTGCAGTGAGGTAACACGGTTTTGTGTCTTATGTCTTGTAGGTGATGAACATCCGCAAAGTCCTGAATAAAGTGGAGAAGCCGCAGGGCCTCTATCCCAACTTCCTCAGCCCGGTGACAGGGAACTGGGTGCAGCGTAAGTAGCAGTGTGCATTGAGCCCCGCCTGGAGCATTTCTGCCTTTCCATTATCCTTTAGGAAGATACAGCAACTGTCAGAGCAGCGAGCCAAGGAAATGTCTTGTCAGGCAGCCCGTTATACATGTGATTAGATAATGTGACTCGATTTGGAAGATGCAATATAATCATCGTACACTTAGTCCATCAGCCTTGTTTCCAGCTGAGTGTCTCACCTCCACAAAGAGAACTAGAGCCTTTCCTTCACAGGGAGAGTAATGGTACATGGTTTATCACGTAGATATTAGAAATCAGCACGTCTCTCTGCGAACTTATCCTACAGTTTTCATACAGCCTGTGGGCCTCCTCAGCAGCTGCTTGTGAAGGCTATGAGCAGAAGCCATAGGAGATTTGCTTTCTAAGTATGATGTATCAAATAGGGATCCATTTGGAGAGGCCGTGGCTTGTAGAGTTTCAGATCCCCCTGGTATCTAGCACTCTGTCTGCCCCAGATCTTTGACCTCAGCTTTCCACTCTGTTAGAGATTTGCTTATTTTGGCAAGGGATGTTGCTGGATTTCATGTTTCTCTTCTAAGAGAAATAAAATTTCTCCTTCAGCAGAGCTGTTCTTAATCTGTCAGTGGATTATATTGCTTAAGCAGGTTTATTTGATTCATTGCAATATTTCTGTCCCTGTGTCCTGCTGCACTGTTGGCTCTCCTAGATCACTGTAGGTCTTTCCAGCCGCAGTATTAATAGCTCTGTTTGTAACTGCCAGGCGGCTGCATCATCTGGGGCCCTGGGAGAGCACTAGCTGTGAGCAATCCCTGACCTCTGACTGCCACATCAGCACCAATAATGGTGACTGACAGGGCTTGGCTTGAAAATTGTCCCAACGCAGCATCCTAGATAATTCCAGTTGTCCCATTAAGCCAGAGCTGTTCTTTGGTGCTGTGATAAAAAAGTGATAGGCTTCCATGTCCGTCCTGTTAATTGACTTTCCGAGTTATCCCTTTGCTGGTTCATCATCCCTCTGCGTTTGTCTCTGCAGAGCTGTTGCAATATGCTCCACTTGCAAAGTTAATCTCCCATCCCTTTGCACCCCTGAGGTGCAGTTTTCTTTAGGCTCTTCCCAGCTGGGAGCCACACTGCACATTCTCCCATAAACGAGCATTAATCCTACCTGCTCCTTGGGGTTGAGAAGAGATGAAGTTTCAGGCCCTCAGTTCTGTTGTTGCCATAACTGATTGTCACCAAATCTTTGGAAAAATTAAGAGCTGTGCTCTTAATTCAGAGGGTTAAAATACTCAGCTTGATGCTCACTGTTAATCACTTCTACCACTAATTTAATGCTATTTATATCCACAAATCTGACTTCATTTTACTGATCAGCTCCCACCCTTTGCTGACATATAAAGGGGCTTTTTGCTGAGTCTCAGAGCTTATTAAAAGTAGCATCTGATTAGTTCATTTGGGATAAGGCGGTTTATGAAAAAGGTCTTCAGATATCCTCTCTCCTAGACTTACACATCATAAGGACACCCCGTGGCACAGGCTTCTCCTGACAGTTGCCCATTTTCTGACCTGTGGTCCGAATCCGTGTTCCAGTGGGGCAAAATGCTGAGGAGCATCTTCTGCACCTCCGAAACTGCTAGCGAGAAATAGATTAGGACTAAAGGAAGGAGACAGCTGCTGCCTGCTATAGAGACGTTCCCCATAGGTGCCAGGCTCTCATTTTCTCTTTTGCCATTAAAGCTCTTTGCAGGAAGCTGGTTTTTTTCTTGGAATTGCTGTGATTTTCTTAAAAGGTGCATCTTTGACCTGGCCGAATGAGCACGTCTGCTAATGAAGACGCAATTCTGTACCTCTTCTGGGTGCATTTGTTACCTTTAGAAAATTAAAGCACAGTCCCCTGCTGAAATAAAAGATTTGTTTATGCAAAGTGCCCAGGAGGCGAATGCTGGCAAAGTCATGCCATATGGAATGCAATTATGTACCAGAGCTCCTGCTTTGGCGAGTTTATGAATGACATACTTAGGATCACAGAGTTTCTCTTTTAAAGACAGACTGTGCAGCCGGTGTTTGTAAATAGTGTGTCCTCCTCTTCTCTGAATTCATACATCTAATCTTGTTGTTTTGCTCTGGATTATTCTGTGGACCATTGGACACACTGTATCAGGGATATTTGCTCTTCAGGTCAGGAAAATGCGTGGCTGTTATCTCTCCTGTTGGTAGGATTTAGCACTTAGAATAAGCCTCAGGATTTTATATATATACATTGAAAGGGAAAATAAAAATCTGAAAAGCTACTCCAAAAACCCTGCTGCGTCTGCTTATGTCAAAAATGAGGAAGCATGCAGATGCAGAGCTAGACACTTTTAATTAATAGGGTTGGTTCAATCTGTGGTGGGTAATTTGTCTTGCTCTTATAAAAAGGGGAGTTCTTGACTGCTTCAAGGAATTAGTGCTGCTTTTCACCCTGCGGTATAGTTTGAAGATATAAATCCATCCACGAGTTCCCCCCAGGCAGAAACCCGCAGCTGTCATGCCTGTTTCACAGTGCAATTCCTTAGCATCCTCTTCTCCAGTAAGGTCAAAGCGACGTGCACTCCGAACAGATAGCCTTGAAAATCGGATTTCTCCACAAGATATTCCGTGCACATCCTTGCACCCAACTTTATCATTTTAATATGCCAACAACCCCAGCCTTCCCCAGGACACAGAGTCCCACCATGAGCCAGGAATACAAATGGCAGGATGCAGAGGTCCCTGTAAGTCCCTTGCCGGCGGCTCTGTCTGATCCAATATACATTTTCCCTTTCCTGAGGCAGCGAGGCAGGGCCCAGTGACTTCATCTAGGCAGAGATCCATCAATATCTGCCATTGCTCTCAGTTTACTGGGCTGGGATTTATGATGGTGGCTTCATAAAAAGAAAGCACGTTCAAGTTAGAGTGTAAGTAACTGTTGCAAAATAAGACCTCTGAGTATCTGGTAAGGGATACTGATGCTTTGTAAAATGACAGAGCGTTTTTCTTCTGATTGCACTTTCCACCTTTCTTCCTTTTTAAAAAAGAAACTGCTGCAAGCTCTCCCCAGGAAACTGAAAAGAGAGAGGAGAGAACAAGGGCATTAAATAGGACATGGTTGTTTGCTCTTTGTGAAGTGACTGCTCATTGTATATTATGAACCTGATGTTCTTTTTTGCCTTTCCTATTACAGATCATGTCTCCATTGGGGGGCTTGGGGACAGCTTTTATGAATATCTCATCAAATCGTGGCTGATGTCAGACAAGAAAGATTCTGAAGCTAAAACGATGTATGATGATGCACTAGAGGTAAGGAGTGAGTTTCTACTCTATTTTCTCGTGGGAGACATTGTTCAGCAGCATGTTGGAGGCAAAGGCGTGTTAGCTCACTCCCCACGCTGTCCACAAAATACCCTGAGAACCTGATTTTCATCCCTTTTAGGCAATAGAAAAGCATTTGGTCAAAAAGTCTGCTGGAGGATTGACCTACATTGCTGAATGGAGGGGTGGCATCTTGGATCACAAAATGGGCCACTTGGCTTGCTTCTCCGGAGGCATGATAGCACTTGGAGCTGAACACGCTGGAGAAGAAAAGAAGCAACATTACATGGACCTGGCTGCAGAAATAACCCACACGTGTCATGAGTCTTACGCACGCTCAGGTAATCCGGGTGGGCTGCCTAGGAAACATGAGTAGGGGAGAGTCCACAGCCTTAGGAGACTCTGCTCTTGTGTGGCAGAGCATTGCAGCAGGGTGTTTTGCGCTTCAGCAGCATTTTTGTCCCTGCATGGGACACTCACTTTCCTTCTCTAGGATATCCAGCAGGGAGGGCAGTGACAGCCTTCCTGTTCCACAGAACAGACGGCTGGAGCAGAGGCAGATGTGAACTGCGATGGCAGAGCTGGGAAATGAACCCTGACTGAATCCTGCTCCTGCATCCCAGTTGTAGAACTTGCCTCCTGCCAGCAGGGCGAGAGTTTGAGTCTGTCCTTTCACATTCTTTTGCGGACAGAAAAGGGAGATTAACAGTGATTTATTGTAGGATGTCCCACTATATAGAGAAGAGCAGTTAAGAAGCCAGAGTGTGTTGGAGACCTGTAGCTGCTGCTTTAAAAGCAGTAAAACCTCTCCTCGGAGCCCGCGGGCAGCAAAGCAGCAGTGTGCTCTCCAGGACCTTGTTGACCACCTCTGTCTGTGCTAACGGTTTCCAGAGATTGTTTCACACCTAAACCACATCAGCAAGTCCATATTGGCCGCTGGCATCCAGCATGTTTGCCTAATAAACTTCAGGCTAAACTGAAATCGTATTTGCAAATAACTCTTTTTTTTTCTAGCACTGACAGAACTGAAACAAGTCACCCGAACTAATAGCCCTCTGGCTGTGAGTGCCTGGAGCTGATTTTCACCTTCAGCAATATCCATCAGCACAGGAAGGACAGTCTGCCCGCCCTGGGCTCAGAGCTGCCGTTTGAGCAAGCTCGTTGTTTTGCAGAGAGTGGCTGTGCATGTCACCCAGGCCACAAACAGCACAGCTAAGCTAGCAAACACCATCAACTCCTGCACAGCCTGAGGGCCTAGAGAAGGTGTGCAAAACGTTTAGAGAAATGAAATGAATACCCTAAACACAGCCTTGTGGGTGCTGCAAGAGAAACCTGACGTGGCTCAATCACAAGCAACCTCTAAGCTTGTTTGCCTGTGTGTCACATAAGGAGAGGTCCCTGTGTTGTAAGGAGGGATCTCTGAGCAGATACTGGCCAGAGATTGCCCCTATCTTGATATTAGCTCTTAGGTTGATGTGCTGCACCAACATGACCGATCTGCTCATCTGACCTCACACAAGCCTCAATTTTAAATGTCTGAAGTCTTAGCAGCTTAAAAGCACCTGTTTTCTTGCTTTCTCTCCAAACTGATCATTACACGCGTGCGATTGTGTCTAGATACCAAGCTTGGCCCCGAAGCCTTTCGCTTTGACACTGGAAGTGAAGCCATGGCAACGAGGCTCAGCGAGCGCTACTACATCCTGCGCCCAGAAGTGGTGGAAAGTTACCTGTACATGTGGCGACTGACGCACGAGCCCAAGTACAGGCAGTGGGGCTGGGAGGCTGTGAAGGTACGGCTGGGAAACAGGCAGTAATAACAGCTCCAGGCTCTTGGATTCTTGCAAGAATCTTTTTCAGTCAAGAAAAAGCAAAAGTGATTTGAATTGCATTATTCACTAAGACACATTAGCAATGGTGCAGGAATATACAGAATAGTTCAATTTAGTGGGGCTTCTCTGCTGATCATGGTAAATATTTTCTTCTCCCTTTTGACCTATATCAAAACTGTAGAGGTTTATGGAGAGGAATGCTGCAGATAGTGAAACCTGCTATTAATGAAACAGTCCTTGTACCTGAAGTATGTGGACTGCTCAGAACCACTAGTTTATAGTTGGCCAGAAAAAAAGGGGCAAGTCTGCCTTTGCCCTTCCTCCTCTCCCTCTTCTTCCTGCAAAGACCTCCCAACCAGCAAGACCCTCTCTTTCCAATTAATCCAATAGCCAGTTGACTGCTGCCCCACATCCTAGCAGGGACCCACTTCAGTGGCAGAATTGTCACTCATCTAGTGCCCTGGAAAAGAGGTTCTGCAAATAGCGAGTTGCCACTTGAGACCTCTTGTTGCTTTGGGTGTAACGTCAAGGTCAATCAATCAGCCAACTTAGGCGGTCTGTGTTTCTCTTGCTATTTCATTAGAACTAGCTTTATTCCTGCCGTAATCACGATGCTCTTCAGTGAGAGAAAGAAACTACAAGAAATCTGGAATTTGATTTGTAAAACTGACTTGTGATGGGACTGATGATGCTTAACGACTTCCTCCATGTTACAGTATGTAACTGACATCTCTTTTCCTTTCTCAGGCCCTGGAAAAACACTGCAGAGTAGAAGCAGGTTTTTCTGGCATCCGAGATGTTTACAGCACAACCCCAACCCATGACAACATGCAACAGAGTTTTTTCCTCGCAGAGACTCTGAAGTAAGTATCACAGAAGCCTTTCAGAACAGCATAATTCCCACATCATCAATGCTTTTGATGCTACACATCTTTCTGCATGATAAGTCTTTTATCCTCTGCATGATAAGTCTTTTATCCAATCTGCAGGGCAGATTGGACAAGATTATAGGTGCTGCGAAGCTTTAGTAACTTCTTTCTGCAGAACCACTGCTGTCACAGGCACTCTCTGAGTTCCTGCTTCTGCCCTGGGTTTGTGGGATGCTTCCTTCAATCCAGAGCTGTGCTAAGCAAGTGGGAGACAGAGCTGGCCCCTCT